ATAAACTTTACCGTCTGAATATATAGATATAATTGCTTGCATTATTGTGTATCTATTCTTTTTTTTTATAAATTTTTACTTATAGCATAGAATCAGAGTACTTGTTTACAATAAAGCAGAATAATATTTAACAGAATTTGAATATATTTGATCCCGATTAATGTTCAAACATGAATGTGAGTAAAACTAATTAACAGTTTTCAAGATGGGCAATGTTTACCATAAAAGGCAGAACATGATGCGGCTTCTGAACACATATAGAAAGGTAGGCCGAAAGAATCAGAAAAAGTGGGTAGATTCTCTTCCATAAAAATAATTCTGTGATCTCATTTCGTTGAAAATCACATAACTTCGTCTTAAATTTTGTAAAATATTTCTTGATTTCAAAAACATTACGTTATATGAAACATACAAATAATTAATAAAATTTTTAAAATAAATTATGAATAAACATACAAATGAATCGAAACAATTGAAACTAAATCGTAATGTATTGAATATTGAATGAAAAATAAAGTTTATAATATATTAATAATAAATTGAAACAGATAAAAATTGAAATTCAACCGAATTAAATTAAATTAAACAATTGAACTGAATATACATAAATCAAATAAATTCAAAAATAAAAATAGATCAAACTAAATCAAGTTAAATCAAGTTAAATATGAAAAGTTATAATGCAAAAGTTAAGTATGCGAATCAAGTATATAAATTCAATGCTGATGTTCTTCGATGAAATTATATTTTTTCTCGATTATTAAAAAATTACATTTCTATCAAACCATGTATTTTACGTTTTCAAAAAAAAATTTTCAAATTTTTAATTTTTCTTTTTTATGAATTTAAAAAATTAATTATGAAAAAAACTTAAAGAAATATGACTAAAACAAACAATGATTGCATATGGATAAATTTTGATAAAAAAATTCGTGAGAAGAGCGATGCAATGACAAGTGAAACTGCACGACCTGCATTCGGGGATGCATCGAAAGAAGAACAACAAGTTTGCCGAACGAGTTGTGGAGATGGAGTCGGGACAAGAGGAACCAAAGGTCTTCAAGTTTTTGTGAGACATACGAAACTTGCAACGCGGAGCGACATTCTTCTCTTCTAACTCTTTCTGTTCTCGGTTCGATGAACGTAAAGAAATCGGCGTTACAGACACTGAACTTTCAGAGGCATACTTTTTCAGAACTGAATAAAACTGTTTATCTTCGACTTCTACCAAGATCAACAATTATTTTGATTTTAATTAGACAATTTTAATGAGTGAATATTATTATTGAAATAATTCTTAAAATTTTTTCGCCCAGAGAAATTTTAAAAACTTCATTTTATATTTCATAACGGTAACTTAATATGTTCTTTTAATAATCTTTTAAATTTATATATTTTCTTAATTATATTTCTATTTTTTTGCATTATTTTATTAATTTTCATAAAAATTATTATTATACCATACTCTCCATCTTTTTAAAAAGAAAAAAAGAAATCAGGACATGAAAATATTTAATTTTTATTTTCATTTTTTTTTCTTTCCTTTTATCATCCAATAAACAACATGGAAAGACTATAATCTCCTGAAGTAAAACGTTCAAGACTTCGATAAAAATGCCCAGCCAGATTCCCCACAGATAAGCTGCGCGACTTCCAGTGACTTCTCCCTCTATCGACTCATACAAAGGAAGATATGAAAAACAAGAACGATAGAAAACCTTCATTTTGACAAATATATCAGAATGCTATCTATCTTATTCCCTTTACTTCTTTCTTTTATTACCAGTTGGCGCCAATCTTCAAATGGGATCGCTTCTCTTTTTAGAATAAATTTCTATAACGAATCACATACCACTTCTTCATCGAAGATAATTTCAAGCTTCCAAGAACCGGCAAAGATAAGCAAAGAGGCGAAATTAAAACTGTTAATGACAAATAAAACTGCGAGTTTGATGATTTCGAAACGATCAAAAATAAACTATATCTGTGAGACGTTATCGTTTCTTTTTTCTTCATTTTTTCTTTTTCGTTCTTTTTTTTCCAGCCAAAGGGAATGAATCGTATTTCATTGGATTTTAGTATGACGGCTGTCTTCAAGAACGAACGCATATTATCTACTATATGTGTACTACCTATTCGAACACGAGGAGACCCATAACCTCATCGTCGTTGTTGATTACATGTTCTGTCAAATGCGTTGACGCGTTGGCTCGTAAGAACCTTAATGATCCTAACGAGTTCCCCTCTTGGTGAATCTTGCAAATGATGTTAATCATAAACCATGAAGTATTTTGGCACCGCGAACAATGGAATAACATGATTTTCATAATATTATATTCATTATATTGTTTTCATGGTATTAATTCGTGTAAAGTTAATCAAGAAGTAGAATATATGTATGATGAGAGATTTAAAGAAAACAATCTTAAGAATAATATAATATAATATATATATCTGTGAACAATTAAAATTGTCTCATCTATTTAAGTATATTGATTAATCTCAAAAACATTTTTATTATAACTCTAATGAGAATAAATAACACTTAGCATGAAAATAGTTAACAAAAAGCATCTTCTTCTTTTATGATTTATAAAAATATATATCAGTTGAGTATTAATTAAAGTGATTTTAATAAAGTAGAAACTGTAGATATACAGGATATATTGATTGAACAATGAAATGAGAATAGAAAGTGAGCTATGCTATCATAATTGTGCATCTTTATAATGATGAATGTTCATGTAAATGCATTCTCTATACATCACACTTATTGGTTAAAAAGTTTTAACTCAGCTGCTAAATTGGCTACACGATTTTTGATTATATCAAAATCTTCATTGATATAATCTACCCCTGTATAATCAAGAAAACATATGTTAGATAGCTTATCCTATTGCTGTTAAATTTTTTTTATCTAAAATCTAATTGAAAAATCGCATTGATAAAATAACCAGCAGTAGACTAAAGCTGGAAGGAAAGCTTCATGTTCTTTGATTCTATCAAACTTTCATGGATATCTTCGAAATTTATCGATCTTGAACGAATATTTTTCAATATTTTAGTATTCATTATAATCGATAGAAGCAAAAATATTGATGATAATACATTTCTTTTATGTTTTTATTGATGTCTTGGTATAAAATTTTAAGAATTAAATAAAATAGTGTTGCTTTTATAACGTAATTACTGACTGTTTTAGAAATTAAGTTAAATTTTTATATTAAGGAAGCTAATCTTTTTTTAAAATTAAACAAAATCGTATAATATTCAATATTTATAAAAACTCAAGAAATTTTACAGTATACATTAAATAACAAACAATAATTTTAAATACAATTTGTTATAAATTTAATCAAATTCTATTAAAGACAATTGTTAAAAATAAATCGCTTTATTCATATTATATATCCTTATTAATGCTATCAATAATATGCTACCGAATAATCTTTTAACTTTTTTACATTGAAAAATGGAATAACTTGCAATAAATATTATCCTCGATCAAACTATTCATATCAAAGATTTTGATATAATTTTAATCGATCGAAAAATCATAAAATAAGAAAAGAGGGCTTTTTAAGAGAACAACGAGTTCTTAGTGAATCTGCGAACGAACGAACCAACTTAATACAAGGGGAGAGAAAGGGAACTCGGTATGTTAATTACAGACCGACATACATCCCTCTTTCTTTCTTCTCTTCCATCTCTCGCTCGACGTCCGATCGTTTGGCAAGCTGGGGGTGCATACTCTCTCGTTCTTTCTCATCGGTTAGCTTGGTTGCCAGCCGATTCGTCTTGGAACAACCCATCGTTGGTCTCGTTGCACGCAGGCCTCGCGTGAGACCGACGAGTCGACCTTACGACCCGAAGCCGAGAAGAAACCTTCCTTTTGCCCTCTTTCGATCTTCCCTTTGCTCTGCCTTTACAAATCCAGCATACACGGTTTCACGATGTTTCTGCGCCTCGACCGCCTCCTATTTACTACTACCACCACCAGTATACCGATATTCTATCCCATGTGACTGGCTGTCCACCACTGAGAAATCGACCCTCCATTATTTGCACAACACGTTCTACCAATTTGAACGCATTTCGCGCATCATATGCTGTCAATTCTTTGAACGAAGAGAACAAAGAAGATTTTCGAAAAGTAATTAGAAGAGAATTATGAAAAATTTTAGATAATTCTCAATAATTCGAGATATTGCAAAATTAAAAATTCTAATTTCATGAATTATGCATTTTAATGATACATTAAAATTTTGCATCAAATAATGCTAATAATTAATAAAATAGTATATTAGCAAAAAAAAAAAAGTAATAGTTTTAACGATAATATTAATACGTCATTGAATTTATTTTTTGAACGACATTTGACTAATAACATCCTCGATATCTAAGATGATTCTTAATATTATTTATATAATATTAAAAATATTTTAATTATATTAAGATAATATATATCTACTTTTCTATTTTTATTTATTTTTCTATTTTTATTATAGCAAACCATGGTAGATTTTATCTGTTTTGTTTATAGTATTTTATTTTTGCTTTCCAAATATCACTGATTTAAGAAAATCAAAACATCACATAATTATTATTCGCTTATTAATGTTATAGAAGTATTTATGTATGATTATTGATCACGCGATCAATAATTTCTTTTGTAATCATTTCGTATTGCCGCATAATGATAACTCTGCTCGGATGGTAAAAACGCTCGCAATACCATTTTGACTAAAATTATTCATTTTGCTTTCATCAAATACATTATGAATATCAAACATTTTCTTATTTCTTTATGAGAATAAAAAAAAAAACAAAGAAGAAAAAATAATGTATTGAGAAACAAAGGGTAGGATTCGTTTTTGGTACATTTCGTTAAAACATGTCAATTAAAATAATTTTATTTTTTAATCAATTTATCGAACAACTAATATAATAATATAAATTTTTTAATAAATTATTTATATAAAATATATCTGATTACTTACCGCCAAAAATGAGGCACGTATCCAGCTGGACATAAATCTCGACATTGACCACAGGGTGCACCTTGAAGGACGACATTACCGTGCGAGTAAGTGTTGGATTGACCGTCTTGAGGTGACAACATCCTGTAATAAAAAGTAAGATTTATTCGAATTTATTATTTCTTTATTATTTTTTGATTATTATATGATGTTTCATAATTGATCATTACTTATTATAAAATACATGTTGCATACTAAATATAAAAAATTATATCTAACTTTAATACAATAAATTTTAATTAAAATAAAAATCATTAATATATTTTTTTCAATTGCATACATTTCTTAATTAAAAGATAAAACTATCTAACAAAATAAATGGAAATATCGAATATTTTTAAACTGAATAGTCGATAAAAAGTGATATTTCTTATTAAACAATCTAATATTATGATGTTTATATCTAATACCTAAACAATCTGATACTGATGTGTATAAATTTAATATTATGATATTATCGAGCACGATTTTATTTTCAAGCATTTCTTTCTATTTCGTTTTGCAAAATATAATTCTCATTTTATAAAATATATATAATTTTCGACAAAAATTTGTCATTTCATTCATTTTTATGCAAATGATGCATTAATGTCGCGATCTTAAATATAAACTGGACCAAGTCCAGAAGTTGATACCATCCATTATCATAAATTACAATAATTACCGTAAATTAACATTCTACCGTGACCAAACTCACCAACGCGTTATTAAATCAGACAAATGATTCCTTTAATACGGTGAATGATATTAACATATATTCCATATACATACACAGACTTCGCGTTATTCTATCACGACTAACGTTGTTTAAAACAATGATTTTGAACAACATTAATTGTGAATAATTTTTATGAGATACTGCATTGATCATTAATCAAATTTAGAAAAATACTCTGTTTCATTTTATCATATTTTTCCTCTAACTGCGCTAAAATTTGTATATATTTTTTAATTTAACATTTCATTATTTTTTGCAACAACAAAGAGTGCCGCAAAAATAATTAATTAAAGGCATTTTCTAATAGAGAGGAACAAGAGTGATTACGAACTGTTCGAATTAATAATGAAAACCAGTAATTAACGAGTAACCAATGTTTCGAACACTTTGATCGCATGTCGATTAATCGACACCAGGTAATTACACCTTCTAGAAATTTTATTACAACGAAAATCTTTGTATACCACGCGAGAAACGCCGACAGTTTCATCATTCTGTATTCCTTTTTCGTATTTTAAACGCTTTGCTTCTTGTGCTCGACTTTTTTCATCGACATTATAAATATTTCTCCTCAGAGATGCGATCAAAAATAATGGCGCAGCTGTTTGTGCATGGAAATAAAACAGAACCACCGAGAACGATAGTCGATAAGTTATCCCGCCATTTAGCGTAATTGTCAATTATCCTTTTTTTCAATCGCTTGATCACAACCTTGATAAAATGAAATTGAAAATTATAAAAGAAACAGATTATAAAATTAATCGAAAACAAAATTTCTAACGAAAAAAAATATCTATGGATAGAAACGAGAGTCAGTTGTATTCGAACCGAAGGTAATGTCAAAGGTTAATAATTGTGCACAGTAAATATATAGAATATAGATGATATCAACTAAGAAAAAGAAAAGATAAAAAATGTAACTAATCATTATACAGTTTCTAACATGTAATTAACTAAACCATGCGAAATTTCATAATCACTTATGGAGTTGCGATTGTCGCGTGCCAATATGTATAAAATTACGAATGATGAAGCACACAAAATACATATCATTTTATTAACTAATATAATTTCACTTTCACGTTCAACGTAGAGAAATTAAACAGAGGATTAAAATCATCAACATTTTAATCATTTCTAACTATTATTAATACATGAATAATCTTATTTGTTAATCTAACCTAACCTAACTATTACTAACACATGAATAATCTTATTTGTTAATCTAGCCTAACCTAACCTAATCATTTTATTATAAATAGAAAATCGATCACAATCGATAATTTTATCTTTATATTTATCTACTAATAAATCTTATTTATTTATAATCTTATTTACTGTTAGAATGTAAGTACAGAAAATAATAGATTTTTTCTTCAGCGATAATTTATATAATTTATGTATGATTTTGACGATAGAATTTCAAAAAATCAAATTTCATAGGCCATAAATGAAATAAGCATGACTATTTAATCACTGTAACTACTTATGTACGTATTTTTAATAAAACTATATACGGAGAAGTCGTAAACAATATATAATTTTGCTCGATGCAAGTGCAAACTTTATCCAGAGAAACTTTCGATAAAAGTAAATGAGCCGACGTTGTAATTTTTTAACAAACATATTTTATAATATATTAAATATATGTTCAATTATGAATATTTTTTTAAAGAAAGATTTCCATGGCCGCTCATTGCTTTCAAGCCAGAACCATTTCCAAAATCCAATTTACGTTGTGTTCGTTTATTTCGTTCATACAATTATAATCACTTTATGAATATAGTATTACAAGTCATTTTGCCGAGAACCATTTCAAAATATTGTTGAAATTCATAAATGAACATTACCAATTCCGAATTCACAGAACCAAATAAAATAAATTAATAATAATTAATTATAATTGGTCGAAAGTACGAAATAACGAAAATAGGCTACAATATAGTTCATGATGTATAGAAATGGTTGCAAGTTGCCGTAATTAATTTCTTTTTGCATCGTTAATGTTAAGCATTGCTAGCATATAACGACATCAATAGGATGAACTGAGGTATGTTAATGGACGCGATAGCAACTTGATCGTTGAGTTCTCTACTGCTGGTCCTTTATAATTTGTGAAACGACTAATTAACATTCCCTAAAAAGATAGTCCACCATGATTTCATGTGAAAAATTTTGATTGAATTTTAATATCAATATTGATCATTTTCATTAAAATGTTAATAAAAACAAAAATGTATACAAAAATCGATGCACTATTCAATCAAAGAATTTTATAAATTCATCTGTTATTAACTTTACAAATATTATAAGGAATTCGATAGTTTCCAAAATGTGAAAAGAGACAGGCGAACGAGGACATAAATTTTACTTAACGAATACAATCCGAAAGTCGCAGAATGATCAAAGTGAATCAATTTAATAAAATTTATCCGACAGAAATATGATGTTCAATTAGTGTCAAAACCATCTTATTAACAAATCATGTACATATATAGAACTATGCATACGTATAAAAAAATACATATACAAAAATACATATACATAATATGTATGCATATGTATGAGAAATGATGATTATATTTCACATTTTGAACAAGATATCGAAATAAATAAATTGGATACTATATCAAATGAATTTTTTTTACCGAAAACGAATAAAATTCGCTGAAGAAAACTTATATATGAATTGTGTACAATATTTATTTCGCACGATCATCTTATTCAAAGAGATAAATATAAAACTTGCATATAAGAGATACAAATGCAAGAAGACGACCTCGCCTTACTGGACTGAACTGGAGTTCTTCCGCGATGAAAGACACACACAGTCACCGATGCCTGGTGTTGTATATTGCCTTGTGCACTGCGAGATCTTCGATCAAGAGCATGCGCACGTCTGTGCGCGAACGAACAGGCAACACGACCGTATAACGTGCAACTACCGAGAATACGGATCGTATACTCTATACACATACCTGTTGCTTTCTCTCTGCTACAGCCAAGATGCTGAAACTACGATGCTCGGTATAGCTCGAGTCTGGCGAGAACTTGTAATACGAATTCACCGTTTTTCGCACGAGTGTTATTCGTATGCCAGGTTTATTGCTTGTCTTTGGAAAAAAAATATTTTTCACATAACATGAAACGATAGACATACACAAACACACAAATACTAACCAATTTGTCTTCGAAAGCGTCACTCGCGAATCATTAGATACGAGGATTCTTGACTTGATGCATAGCCGAATGCGAATCCTTTCTCGTGTCGCATAATATCCCGCGTATATACTCTCGTTATTGAAGTGGCACCACTTCACAGCTGCACCTGCACTTGCACTTGCACCACACCATGCGAGTAATAGTGTAATATCGTGGCATTGAGTCGTGAGGCCCCGGTAAATCACGGGATACCACCGCGCCGTATATCGTGTTGAGAGAATCGACGACGGTGGCATCCTCGCGGCATCACCGTACACTGCACTCGAGTCAAGCCGAATGCTCGGCTCGCTCTCTTTCCTCTTTCTATTTTTTTTCAACCTTACTGAATATTTTGTTTTATTCTTTTCTCTCTTTTTTTTTTTTTTTTTTACTATCGTATCACTTTCAAGTTTCTCATATTTCATAGAAAGTGGACATTTTCACTTCGCGGATCTTCAGTATCCGCGGTTCAACGATCGAAAAGCTTGCCGTAAGATAAGTGCATTGTCGGCTGTAACGTTAGCTCCATCATCAGAACTGTCATCTCAAGGTTACAGAAATGAATGAAGATAGATAAAAAAGCCTTATTCTAATGAAATAATCGATTTTTGACGTTCGCATTTTTATATTATCCAATGATCAAATTCGATCGCTTCTATGTTCTGTCGTAAAACACGCGTCGTTTTCTGCGAGGGCAAGGAAGACACTTTGTAATTGATTCTCGATTTGCCTCAATATAGTGCTTCAAGATATTCTCTTTACAGTTGTAAACTGGAAGAGAATCTTGTATATACGATACACAGCAACACGCAGTTGAAAGACTCGAATTAGACTGGCTGTAGAGATGAGGCCCTTTTCCCCCACTCCCGCACTCCTTCGACTGGTTGCTTCTCTACCGCGTCAGACCCCCACTTTTCACATGCCACCGGACATTCTCCTCTCATCCCTCCCCCGCGGCCTTCGACTTTGCTTCGCATCATTGTATCTTTTCCCTTCTTTTTCACCTTCTCAATGCTCCTGTGCATCGTCCTTTCTTTCTCTGTGCGTGAACTTAACTTGAAGCTCCTAATGTATGTACTCGATCGTATACATCTCCTTCTCCAACTTTTGCCTCTTCATAATTTTCTAACATTCTTTTTTACTTCATCAATTTTTAATAGATGTTCAATTGACAATTCAACTGCAGCATCCGGCTACTTTGTGATATCTATGCTTTATTGCATATATGTTTATGAATAATTATTTACGATCTTTCAAATATTTTATTGTTATATTAATATACGATGATTATTATAATATATCATTAGTAATTTTTGAGTTACATTAACAAAACCATTAAGATAATATATTCATAAATTTATTTAAACTAGATTGAATTTATATCTATTTAGATTAATATTTTCTTTTTATGTCATTGAAATTTTCCTTTGTATTGAATAACATTATATTAGAATATTTTTTGATTTTCATTAATATTTTTCTTTTTTTTCTTTCTTTTTGTAATTTAATTTATTGATTTTTAAATATTAAATATCGATTAACTATTATTCTACAAATTTTAATTATATTTTTTTATTCTTAAAAATATATTTTATAATAATTCATAAATTATTTTTATTTTATATGTTTATTTTATATGTATTATGTAGATTTATATAGATTATTTATTAACAAAAAAAAGAATTTTTTATTTAAATTATAATCATATATATAGTTATAAAATTATCGCAGAAAAAAAGAATAATTAAATATATAATAAATTAATAAAAAATAAATAATTGAAATTAGTTTAATAATGATATACATCTGCACATTGTTAAATAAGGTGAGGATAAGAGTTCGAAGTATCTTTAATATTAAATTAAATGTTTTAATAATCGGTAATGTTCGGATATGTTCGGATACGTTCAACCAACCACGTGACACTCATCAAGAAATATGGCGTGAAGTTGGTACGAAGATGGTTGTTGTGAGTTACGAAAGAGTAGACGATTTCTCGCGGGGAAGGCACTTCCCAGTCGTCCGGAAAAAGTACCGCATTGCTATTTTTTCCTTTGATCTAGCAAGCGGACGGTAGTGCGATGGTATACGATATCAAATGGATCATACCGAAGCTTCGAAATCCAAGCAGTCTTTGGAACATTGCGAGTAGCATAACCTTTGTAGCAGTAGGGATTTTCTCTAAAATCATTATAGGTGAGTTACACAAATCAATTATTTAAATTAATATTATATATTATTCAATATTGATATGCTCAATCATTAGTGATAGTTCGAATTTATATTTAAAAAATTATTCTTGATATATTACAGATTTAACTATTTATTAGTTCGCAATATATATATATATATTCTATAGTTTATGTCTATGATTTATAGAAAAAGAAAACGTGACTATTCTACAATTCTTTGATTTGATTAAGAAGTTCATTTTTTATAATTAAATACATGAAAGATTATAACAAAATAATGCAAAAAATATATATAATTATACATAATTAATTAAATAAAATATATATAATTATACAATAATGTCATGTGCTATAAATTTTTTTATTTAATCACTATGATTATCATAAAATAAACTTAAAAAATTTGTTTCAAATTTAAATTACATAAATAATATAATAATATTATTTAAAATTATTTGAAAATTTAAATTAATATAATTATTTGTTTGAATTGTTGAATAATAGTTAAATTTTATATATATTAATATATTGTAATAACACGCGCAAGTAAATGTTTCCTTATAAAATAGAAATAAATTTATTTAAATATTTAAAAATAATTTATTTTATAAATAGTTATATAAACAGTTTTTAATGCATTAAAATTACATAATAATATAATATAATGTTCGTTCAATATTATAAAAAAACGTATAATAATTAAATCTTTTATATATCTGTTTATCATATATTCTAGATGCAATTAAAATGTAATATAATGTAATGTGATTAATTAAAATGTAATTTTTTTTAAATTATTTTTAAATTTATATGATTAAAACAAGTTAGAAACCAATTATGTGATGATTGTTACATATTCTAAATTCTATTATTTAATTTTTTTATATCATTACAATACAATTCTTTAAATTCTTTTAATACTTTTTTATTATTTATATTTAAAAAATTTATATGAACATAATTAAGAAAAAGTTATATATATAAAAATAAAACAAAATGAAACAAACAAATATAAGTAAAGAATGCGATAAATATATGTATTATTTAATTTCCTACACACTTCATTACGATAGAATTGGACATTCCATATGACGTCATTATAAATATCACGCGATATATTATCGGATATTCATTTTATAAGCATATGCACTTTTTCATTGATTATAAATCAATTTATATTCGCATATACATACATATAATGATGCATGACTTTTAAAAAATGCTCAATTAATTATATTTTGATTTTAATAGCTAATCCTTTCAAATCATATGTTATCCAAATATGCAAGGTATATTCTGTATTATTATTATTATGTTTTGCGAGATTGGTATTTCTAATTTCAGGAAATATCAGGTACGCATTAACGCCCTATAAAGGGCACAGGAAATCAGTCATTAGCCCTCGCTGGTCTTTCAGTGAGTACCACTGATTTACAATAGACCCGACTTAATGTTGACGTTGACTTAGCTATGATACAATAAACTTCGGAAATTAAGCATTACTCAATTAGTTGAACTCAGCGCTCCGTATATCTCTTCATCTCCATTCAATCCTTTTCTTTCTTTCTTACTTCTCTCTTTTTGTTCGTTTTATCAATCTATTCGCGTGTAATAATCGTTATTCATTCCTTCAAATTCAGTTTTATCTTTACATTATATATGATTAAATTTTACATAACCAATATTTCTTTTGTCCATTGCGATATTTATGATTCTGATTAGATAATATTTCATTCTATAATTCTTAATTAAGTAATCAAAACAATAGTTTTTGAAAGTTGAATATGAAAGATTGATTAATAATAATTCATAATTCAAAAAATCTATAAAGATAAAAATTGCTTTAGAAGTCATATTCATGTTAATCAAAAACTATTATAATTAGTTAGATTTATAAGTTACAAAAATATTATGATAATTTGAATTTTGGATTTGTATGTTTTCAATAAAATATAATTTCAACATTTTACTATATATTTATGATCATATACAGAAATCACTATAATAATTATTTTATGAAATATAAATTAAAAAAGATATAAAATTATTTTTAAAATATTTTTAAAAATTGTAAAATAAGATTTTAAAAATAATAAAAATAATTAAAATAATTTTTAAAATCTTATAAAATACTTATAATTGTTTTATAAATCATTATATCAATATCTTTATTATTCATTTTAAAATCGATCGAAGTTGATTTGTGATAATGATATTGATTATATATTATGAGATGTATAATTATTTCGTGCAATCTTATGCGTAATCATTTTTTATAACAGTCACAATAAAAACAAACTTTTAATATTTCTTTAAGATTAATAATTATTTTTTTTTAAATTAATAATTATTTCATTAATCAAATATAAATAATTTAGCTTTACTTTAAAATTCTAGCATTAGATAAATATAAATCTCATTTTTCATTGCACGTATACTTAGAAAGAAAACCAATTCTATATAAATCAAGATGAAGTGTGTGTTATGTCAAGTATATGAAAATGAATTTCACGAAATACATGCAATATTCTGTAGTCTTTTTTCTGGTTTGCGAATTAATTTACCGAAGAGCATTTTCTTTTCCGTTCGTGCTGTTTAAGAATGGCTGAACAGAACAACAGTGTACAACAAACATATCATCAATCGAGCGTTAGACGAACGGCCGAAAAATGTACCGTTAATCACAGTGTCAAATCATCACAGTTGCTTCGATGATCCTGGCATATGGGGTAAGTTTCTTTTAGATTGGTTCAACAATCGGACTACGTATCGACTGTTATTCATTAAGTTAAACACTCGACACTGTTTCATCAATATAGCTTTCAATCTCCATTGTTATGTTTTGTTAGCAAACATTTTATTGTATGTATCGATTAATGAGGCATGATCGAAACGATGAAAGGATATTTCAATGATATTGTATGTTAATACTGAATACTGATACTGAATATACTTTATTAGTAGATTGGAGAATACTTTTTTTATCGACATTTTTTTATATGAATGATATATACTAGTGGTTTCTTTATGTATAAAATATTTCTTTGTTGTATATACGAAGAACAATATGGCGGAGTACATGTGAGTGCTAAAATAAAAATTATTTTACAAATATTTGGCTTTGCACAAACAAAAGAATATTATAATATTTAAATATTTATTTTTACACAAATTGATTATTAGTATTGTTAACAAAATAGTAATTTTTAAATCGATAATCAATGTGATAATAAAATATTATATAAGTATATTCATATATTATTCATGTTTATTAAATCATTTTCGATTTTTTTTATTGATTTACTAATAAATTATTAATATTATTGATTATTTAGACACATATACATGCACATACGCTTGCATACCTTCATATATACACGAATTCTCTTTTTCCTGAATCATATCTTTTCTTTCTCAGAATGACCATCGATAAGCGATCGAATGAAAGAATTTAAGACAGAAAAATCTCTGAACTCATTTAGCGAGCCTGGACCTGAGGTATCTGATGGATCGACGTAAGATCAGATGGTCGCTTGCGGCCCACGACATTTGTTTCACAAACTCCTGGCATTCATACTTCTTTATGCTGGGCAAATGCATTCCCGTGATCAGAGGTGGAGGTGTGTATCAGGAAGCCATGGATTTCTGCATCGAAAAGTTGGCCGCTGGTGAATGGATTCACGTCTTCCCCGAGGGGAAAGTAAACATGTTTAAAGAAACCATGAGGTTCGCGATTTTTTTTTCTTTATATTTATTTCATATTTCATTTTATTTATTTTTTCTTAACCTTTTTTTTTTCTTTTCTTTTTTGTTTATTTATTTTTTTCGATAAAAATTTGATTCGATCTGTTTTATCATGTTCAGATTAAAATGGGGTATTGGAAGATTAATATATGAATCACCTATTCCGCCGCTAGTAGTTCCAATCTATCATCTTGGCATGGATGACGTTTTACCGAATGAACCACCATATAGATTGAAAATACGCAAAAAGGTCACTATGAATTATGGTGATCCAATAGATTTTAGCGAATTAATAGAAGAATTGCGTGTGTCAAAAGTGTCTGAAGAGGAAGCAAGGAAAGCGATTACAGATCGTATTCAAACAGAACTTTTAAAGTATTGTTATTTGAAATCTCAGTATTCATGATATAATTCATAATAATCTATATATTTTTATAATAATCAATATATTTTCAGATTGAAAACGATAACGGAAGAACTTCACAAAAATTCATGATAATCAAACGGGAGACATTCTAATCATCATCCCGATTAGCTTTAATATACCAAAAAAAAAACAAAAAAAACAAAAAAAAACAAAAAAATATATATATATACAAAAAATAAAATTTTAATTTCAATGTGACAATAGATATTAATCAAAGATATTCATTTGTACGACATGTAACTAATATATATATATACAGTTGTGTAATGTAATGCACGTATCAGGCAGTAGTGATTTAGTTTTGTTTCTTTTTTTATTTTTTTTCATTTTTTTTAAGAGGATATTATATTCATGATATTCTTGAGAGAATTTTAATTTAAATACGAGTCGTGTTGACTTAAAAATGCCATATATACGTTTCACAGTTACATTATCACATACATAATAATGTATATACGTTCCTGCATACACATAAAAGGAATCATCGTAACTTATGTAAAAACTTACAGTTATTGTTTATAGAACAAATTTTAATATAATCGCAAATTACGAAAGCTTCTATGAAACATAACACTGAAACTGTGCCACTGTACTATGCATATCATCGTTTATTTTTATGCGTTGATTTTTTTAATATTTTCGAGGTTCGTAATTTGTGATGATACAAGCGTGACACAATCTTTGTATAATTCATTGAATTTATTCTGCATATATTAAAACCTTTTATATAAATGATTCGAATATAATTGTAATTTAATCAAAGAAAAGAAAAAAAAATGAATTTGACGAAATAATATAACTAAATCAGATTTGATTGAAACCCAACTTAAATTTGTTGGATTTTAAAACGCTTAATCATCGAACATAAGACGAAATTACCATGTTTGTGATCAATTGTACATTTAAATATATGCACACACGTATATTTTTGATATATTGTAAGAATTTACAGTAACTATATTAAAAACATTGAATGATAAAAATACTATAAAGATATACATATTTTGTATTTATTAAATTTTTTTATAAGTAGTAAAATATTTTCACAAAAAGAAATCTATTTTTTGCAATCTGTTGTACTATATGCGAGTATTATTTAAAGTGTAATGTGACTGTTTTACGCCATTATTTCATTTTAATAAATTATTTTTCACGCTATACTATATTATTTAAAAAAATATGTAGATTATTATAATTATTATCTAACAGATAATGAGAAATATTCCTCTAAATCAACTTTTATTAATATTCAATAAAATATCGATATGTTTGAATATTCAAACTTTATTTCAAAATTATAATTTATATTATTTTTCTTTAATAAATATAAAAATTGTTTTAATATATTTTTAAAATTATCAAAAAAATAAATATTATTACTATTATTACTTATTACAAATTATATTATTCTATGAAGAATAATATTTATATGGATAATTCAACAAATTATATTTAAATTAATATTTTATACGGAAAATATCAATTATATTACATCATTTCGTTATAATATTCACAGATAGATCTTGTACATATATATTCTTTTTATGACATAGAAATATATTACGTCGTACACATTTGCGACATTACTATTTTTCAAAGATTAGGTATGTCTTGGCACGTTTTTTCTCTTCATAGAAAAAGACAATTTTGATTCTAGAGCGATACAATAAAAGCAACACACAATATTTTTATAAGATAAGTGGAATCTGTACATTAATACATTATTCATACCATAAACTTTAAATAGATAGAGTGATATACATAATATTAACGAGACAAAGTTTATGCTATAAACGTAAGTATTATCACTTTCATTCTATCACTTATATTTTTATACAAATTAAATATAAAATATAATAATATGAATTAAATATGAAAGAGAAAAATTCGATCGCGAGACTTGAATTTATAATTAAATTGAACTTCATTTATAATTAAAATATAAAATAGTATTTGATAAATATAATGTTAATAATTTTTCAATAAATTTAAATATGATTAAAAATAAAATTAATTTTATTATTATATATTATATATATGACATTAATTGTATAATATTACATCATTATTAAAAAAACTTTCTTTTTAAAAAGATAATTTGATATTTTTATAAAATTTCGAATCCATCATTGGACGGTGTTTAAGGAATTAAAAAATAACAACAAATAATATTTAAATATTGTTTCATTCTAACAACTTGATTCATGCTTCTAATATAGATAAATAGAATTATTTTATATTTACTTGTAATTATACGATTTATCTATCTATTTCTACATAATATACATGTTAATTGATTCTATAGAATATATATATATATATTTGTATAGATTGTATAGAATTTAAATATATATATATATATATATATATATTTATTTATTTATTTATTTATTTATATAGATTTCACAAGTATCGCGATCGAAATAAAATCTCACGATCCAATGAAAAAAATAATATCCTTTTGGTATAGATTGTGATCATACATTATCCTCTTTTGATAAATTAATATGATCATTCATTTCTCTTATTTCTTTCATTCTTGTGTCTATTATTTCCTTTTATCTCAATGATATTCATTGGCAACTTTACGAAGACTAGTTTTATTGAAATTACAAATACTTCCAAGTAGAGCAGCTCGTTCGTTGGTCAATTTTGAGACATTATTTGCCACATCAATAGTTGCAGGCATCTGTGACGGAGGTGCTGGTATAGTACTTTTTGCAGGAACTCCATCACCTTGTCGCACATCTATAGAACCTTTAGTTAAATAGATTGTAACTTTATATAATTTTTATAATGTCGTTTGGATACATATTATTTTATTATATTTAATTTTTTATTAATTAGATTATTTTTATAAAGATATACTATATACTATAAATATACTATTCATTAAATCTATTATTACATGTGTTCGAAATGTATCCAAGCGATAATTATATGAAAAAATGTATGAACGTGAATAATTAGTGTTTGAGTGATCATATGACCTACGTGAAAGAAATAAGCGTAGTATGCGCCATCAACTTTTGTGCCCAGCTAATATAAAGTCATGAATATTGATTAATGTTAATTTTTAATAAAAATTAATGAAAAAAGTAATTTGATACTTACGCAGTGATGGAGGCGTTAAAGTTCCAACACTGGTTGCTGTAGAAGTACTAGTAGGACTATCCGAACGTTCCGGACTTTTACCATTTACATGTTTTATTCCATTTGCACTTAATTGGTTCGCAGAACGTTGTTCTTGGGCTAATTTTTGTTCCTTCTTCTAGAATAATAGAAACATTTGTGTTTTCATTTTAAGAAATATATTAATATTTTAATACAATATTTAAATATAGTATTTTTTACTAGTTTCTGTTTTCGTTTTTTCATTTCTTCCTCTGAACTCATCATTTCTTGAACTTTGACAAGTCTTTTTTGATGTCTCGCTACTTTTTGTTCTTCTTTTAGTCTTTGTTCTGCTTTGTTTACTGCTTCTTGTAGAGCTTCTTTCAAATGACTACTTAATTTGAAATGTGGTTTTTCTATGGATCCAACAGCAAATGTAATATGTTTTGCTGATTCAAAGAATGGGTGTTCTAATAAATGTGATATTGTTGGTAAATCCTGTTTCAAGGCTTCTGGTGAAAGTATCACCTCTAATAGACTTTTTAAAGTTAGATCGCAATACGGTAATTCCGAACACGTTGCTTCTAACAATGGTCTTCCAAATGCCATTTCATATAATATATGTCCAAAAGAATAAATATCTACTTGAGTCTGTAAAGAAAAAAAAAAATAAATATATATTTATATTGAGAAATTTATACGATATTTTTCTAATGTAATATGAAATATACTGTGGCATGAAGTTTACGCCTTTGTACAACATAAGGACGATAGAATGCTGGTAAACCTAAAAGACCATTTTCTATATCCAACAACTTGGCACATTTTTGTGTTAAAAGAATATTTCCTGTATGTAAATGTCCATATGGTAAACCTTTTTCATGAAGAAATCCTAAAGCTTCCAAAATCTAAAATAAGAATTATTTAGCTACAAAATCTATTATTGTTATCTTAATATGAAATATTATATTTTTACCTGGTAACCATACATAGCAATTTCAGGCACTGTTAATGATTTGGTTTGTTTTGGATTTCCATACTTTTTTATAAATGGTTGTTTAGGTTTAGTTACGCACAAAATGTCACGTAATGTACCCATCGGATAAAAATTTCTTATCATTAATGCTCCATTTTCAGTTACATGTTGATAAACAATTGGTTCTATATAATTATGCTTTAATGTTCCTAAACTTTTAAAAACACCTTGCATGTCTTTATCTTGCAGATGTTTATCTGGACCAAATTCTACCCATGCAAGTAATAATTCTTGTTTTGAATTTTGACGGTTTTTTACAGTATAATAATGTTTTCTTAACCGCCATCCCATATCAGGAATGGCTTTACAAACTTCAAAATTTGCATCGCTACGTAAAGCTAATGACACCTGTTGCAAAGCTATTTCTGAAAATAAAAGTTATTTATGAAAATGAATTAAATTTTAAATATAAATTGATAATTTAAAATAAGATTTTTTTAGTATTTAAACATAATATTATTTACATATTATTTATTTATATACACATATCATATTACTTTTACTTAATTATATTATTATATTCATTATTATAATTAAATCATACCATGTAATGGTGCTGTATAATTATCTGGATCTAAGAATTTTTTCATAGGAAGTGATGAAGCCAATATAGGATTCATTAGTATATTGTTTAAATAATTCTAAAAATAAATAAAATAATTATATTAAATTAATACTTAATAATTATGATTTTTTTTATGTAATTAGTTTTTTATATAATTTATATAATTAACCTGTAGGGCTATTTGACGTTGAGCTATAAAGTCTGGTTCCATATTACCAATGATTTTCTTTGGAGGAAATGCCAGATCAATACCAGATATTGATAAAGCTGCATTAAGCTGAACAAAGTCATTATAGCGTCTGCTAACTCTCCAAAATTTCTCAGAAAGTGGACCTCTTTGTGTTCTAATCACATATTCCTAAATATAATATAAAAATATATATTCATATCATTTTTGCATTAATAAATAGCAATTTTTAAATAAATGTACAATTAAAAAATAAATTAAATTATATATTATAAATTTTATATAATAATATATATAATAATTTATATAATAATATTATATTTTTTTTATATTTTTCAAGCATATATATTTTTTTTTTAATATATTATATGTACAAAATTAATTTTGACTATATAAATTTTATGTGTAAAAAAATATATTATAAAATTGTTTATCTTTAAAACATGCAAGAGAAGCATCCAGAATGTCTACGTCATCAACAATAACGCTCGTCGTTGATTTAACGATACGAGATTGGAGCGAAAATCCGACATATATGAAGATCATCTTTTATCGACCAAATGTCAAAATATACGTATTAAGCGTGCACCGTACCGTATGTCCGTCGATTGTTCTTGCATTTTCAATGACGCTCGTCAGCTTTTCTGTATCATCTAACAGCACTTTATTTGTATATCGCTTCTCAAATAAAGCCATTGATCATTAGTCCGACAGAATGCAGAGCCCGTGCGGGGCGAACTGCGTATGGCTAGCGCATATTTTTCGTAAGTCGCCATACATGATGCACTTTTGCATCATTGTAACATTGGTCAATGTATTATACACAATTATTTTAAATGATTCAATAACAGATTCAAAAAGACGCACCGATATTGATTAATGTTTTTTAATGATCAACACAAATCTTATTTAATGAATTACATTTCTCTTAGAGCTTAACACCCATCTTTCACCATTTTATTATATACACTTTCGCAGTGATGCCACACAATCAGATGACCACACAATAAACATAAAATTTCTATATTTTATATTCATTGTTTATTTTGAGTAAATTATAAAAATTTCATTCCAAATTATTTATAAATAATTAATTATAAATTTAAAAATAATTAATATAAATTTAATTATATTATGAAATAATCAAATAATTAAACAATTTATTAAACAATTAAATTTTTCATAAATTTTTATCATAGATTTCATATTATTGATGAATTTATCATTTTATCGATTAAAAAGATGCCAGATTATTATATTTATGCAATTAAATTTATCCATATCATAAATGTGGTCATGATCTAATAACAAAATATAAAAACTGAGTTTGACTAAATTATAGATAACAGAATAAAATTGCATTCGAGTAGCATACATTATACAAAATTAGTTGGATTAGGATATTTTAAATGTTTCTTTTATTTATATTTATATATATCATAACTTTTGTTTTTGTTTTTATAACAATTAAGAATATAATAAATTGATAGAAAAAGCGAATTTTCATTTATTTATTACTTATTATTTCATGTTGACAATTTAGATTCTACAAAATAATATTATTGAATTGTTTGCATTATAACTGTATTTAAATCTTCGCGGGTCGGATATGTATAAACGCGACGTAGTACTTCATCGAGTCGTCACAACTTCCGGCCATAATTTTGCATCCTTTTTTCCGAACATCGTCTGCCGTTGTAATCATTACACCGTGGTGATAGTTCAACGAAGTGGAGAAGTGTCAGAAGTGGCGAGTGTCGATTCGTTTTTCTTCAAAATTTCCAAGAAATGATAGTTATTCAGCCAAACATAGTTCTGTAACAGACAAACAAAAGTTATCATCTCTTACAATCAAACGTGCAACGAAAATCTTGCAATTTAGGGGACGGATTGTGAAATTTCTTCGAAATATTCGCGACGTAGAGACATGCTGTAATACATTAACTGCTAATGATGGCACGATTCAATTTTCTTATGACCAGACATATGAGACTCGAAATATTTCCCGTTGGTTCAGGTTGAGGGCTGCCTTATTTATACAGAATAAACAGCCCTTGCTTGCTTGTCGGCGCGTGATCCGAACGTTCTACGTCGGTGTTCTTTTTCTATCGTTTTTGAATCGCCGCTAGCGTGTTAATTAAACAAACAAACTGTGGCCGAGATAGTGTTAATCGGATACGGCACAAGAAAATCTGGAAAGGACGTGCGAGTCGATGAGAAGAAGGAGGCGACGGAGGAGAAAGAGGCAGGAATTTAGGATCATCGAAAGATATGGAGAATAACGACGAAGCGCGCACTGTGGCTGATCGTGCGTCGACGTCAAAGGAGGAACCCTTAGAAGCCACTGCTGATGATGATTACGGCTGCGAGCATTATAAACGAAAATCCAAATTTGTTGTAAGTACCTCAATCGGTTTTTCTTTGCAAATATATTTATAATCCCCCTGTTTTCAATTTTGATCACGCAGATGTTCAATGATCAATTCGTGCGTTTCAATTATAAAAAAACATATTTTTCTTAGATACCGTTGTAATACTTCCGTGTCTCTATGTTCATATCAATCATTTTTTGAATTTATTATAATGAATGATGATCTTGATTTTATTAATTTTTAAATTCCTTTTGTTTTATATCATCGTAAACATATATATTTATTAAGATTTCTGATTAATTTTCTAGTAACAATATAACGAACGGTTATAGATCTTTTTCATGTATATTATTAATTGGGCCGTTAAGTGGTTGTAAGTACGTCACCGATTGACAGTTAATTCAATTAATTCACATAACAACATCCTACAGATATATGTATATATTTTAAATTAATCAATGTAGAAACGAAAAATTTTATGAGATTGAAATGAGACTTTTTGTAAAACTTTTTATAATATGATTTTTGTGTGCGAATATTATAAAATGTCAATAAAGATTTATTGTTTATATATTTGCGTTATATCATAATTGTAATCCTATTTAAAATCACTGAATAAAATTTGATTATTCGATTATTTTAAAAAAATAAAAATATTTTAAAAATCTGCATGGTAAATTAATAGTTGACAATTATAGATTTATAGTCGGTTATTTCAATGAATCTTCATTCAACTAATAAACCGAATTTACATTTCATAAGAAACGTTTTGAGCGCCGCCTAAAACAACAGATAAAATTTGAAAAGCATTTATAGAGTAGTCTATTTGAATATCTATAACGCACTATAATAAAAAGTTGAAAATAAAAAATTTCAATACCTTAAAAATTATTCTTGAACTTGAATAATCAATAATATTTATAATTTTGGATAAATGTTTCTAAAATAAACGACGCGCATAGCGATCTTACAATTAACAACTAACACAAATCGCTTATACACGAGCTTTTCTTATTCATTGTAAACGCGACATGCATTTCATATGTATGTACGTAGCAAACAAATCGATGAAGTTCAGCATATGTTGTATAATGAAACGCCCTCTCACAGTGTTGCTTACCAATTGCCGCGATAAGTCAAATATCATGTGCTGTTACCAGTGACTAGTTTTTCTAAGTTGTCTGAAAAAAAGTATAATTATGATTTTATCTTTTTTTTTCATTTCCAATAAATATTTCGTATTTTGCAATAAAATATATCAGATTTGTGATTTACTTGTCTGCTTACACGATTTGTCTTGTTTACCTGAACGCATAAAGATAAGACACTTAAATTTTTGTTATTCAAATATTATTCAGAGAGCACCGTGAATAATCTATATCTTATGATCGAGAAAACATGCATTTATTATATCTTACTAAAAAAGCAAACCATATATACATAGTAAATCAGTAATATATTTTAATTATATTTTGAAATAATAATTTTTCTTCAAAAATTCAAAAATTTTTGATATTCAAAAATTGTATTAAATAATTCTCTTATATATAAAATTTTAATTTAATAAATAATTTATAACTTAAGTACTTCTTGTATTAAAATTATGATGAATTATTGATATATGTGCTTTGTGGATTTTAATAATTTTTAAATATATTAAAGATTTTAGAACAATTTTTTTTTATATATATAATCGTATAGAACTATCGGTTGATTTTAGCTTAGTTAGTTGATTTTCGAGATTAAACAAACAACTTTACAAAAAATAGTTACTAATACTTGAATGTTTGAACATTCTGAAGAAATATCTATCTTTTGATTCATAGTACATTTTGAATATCGATCGTAAGTGATCGCATTTAACGCACATGTTGCCATATATATGTAAAAACTAAAACTGATAGTTATATGTATAGAAAAAAATTGTTTAAAATCTTATTTTTATATTATATTTATAATATATATAATAATATTTAAAAATAATTAAAATTTATGACATCATATCGATAAGTTAACATAATTTTGTTATGAGATTTTGTGGAACTTTTATTTAATTCAATATAAATAATAGTTATTTTAATGAAATTTCAATTCATAAAAATTAATATTTTTCATAATTTTTTATATAAAATAATAATTCAAATGAAAAATTAATACCTATAAATTCATATTGAAATAATTATAACATGTGTTACGATAACACGTGGAAGATGTGAATGTGCGCCATCTAATAGAAATTCAATAATCATGATAAAAGTCAATTACATATTATGTTGAATCGGTTATTAAAATGTTAATATTAAAATATTCCATCCTTTCGACAATCAATAAATCATTATAGCATGGAAAAATTTTATATGAATCATTATAGATTTTCTTAATAATGGAAAAATTTATATATTGTTATTGACAACTATAAGTGTTTTTTTAACTTGATTCATGTGATTAATTCTTTCGATGTCGCTGAACGTACTAGCATCACATGCGGAACGAGTTTCATAATGGTATGTTATCATGTTCTTTGCACGCTGATCACCGTACGTTGTCGAACAGTTTTGCCGAACGCTTATAAGCGTCTGCTGCATCGAAAGGGTTAGGGATCAAGGATGGATTCATATGGGGGCTAATTGGATTATTATCTAAGACCTTCGTTTTCTAAAGTGTCCAAGAAACATCGATGACATTTTTCTAGCATTTTAATTGAAAATTTGAATTTAAAAATATATGTAACATTTTTTAAAAGTAACCAATAATATTTATTATTTTTTAGACACCATGTTGCAACAAGGTATATACATGTCGATTCTGTCACGACAAAGAAGAGACTCATACAGTAAATAGAAAAGAAGTCACAGAACTGATATGCGTTTTATGTGATACTCGTCAGCCAGTACAAGCCACTTGCCAAAATTGTGATTGTCGATTCGGTAAATATACATGTCTCGAGTGTAATTTATTTGATGATGAGGACAAAAATCAGTATCATTGCGATGGCTGCGGAATATGTAGAGTCGGCGGTCGCGACCGATTTTTCCACTGTGCCAAGTGCAACATGTGTTTACCAGTTCAATTACAAAACGGACACACGGTATGTAATGTATAAATTTTAATTAAATGCCAATGAAAGTATTTCTATTCTCTTTGATATTAGCTACATTTAGCTAAAACAATTGTTTATTAATTTATTGTAATAAATATATATGCGTGATAAAGAATGAAATGGTAGATAAAAAAAAATTTCAGTTTTGAATTATAATCATAGAAAATAATTCATATAAATCAATACTTTGTTTCATATTTTCAGTGTGTAGAAAATGTTTCTCATGCAAATTGTCCAGTTTGTCTTGAGGATATTCACACAAGTCGTATACCTTGTCACATTCCAAATTGTGGTCATTTGCTTCATCGCACATGCTTTGAGGAATTGTTACATTCAGGACATTATGCGTGTCCAACTTGCCAAGTATCCCTTCTAGATATGACTGATTTATGGAGATTTTTGGATATGGAAGTATCATCAACACCAATGCCAGAAGAATATAGGGATTATAAGGTTGATATTCTGTGCAAAGACTGTCATGAGGTAAAAGAAACATCTTATTTTAAATATTTAAATTATATATTTATGTAATCAAAAAATAATGAAAAATTAAATGTAATCAATGAAACAATTTTTTAGGAATCAACAGTAAAATTCCATATTGTAGGTTTGAAATGTTTGAATTGTGGAAGTTATAACACTTGCAGAGTTAAAGGATCTCCTTCTCCAGGTTGATATTAATTAGTAATTATTTAATTTTTACAATAGTAATATTTTTAATTTTTACAATTAGTTTCTATGTATTTTAAAAAATTTTTAGCAGATCCAGATACATTGGACTAAATAATTAGTATCAACATTATGAATAATGAAGAAAAATTATGCAGAACATAAAATTCTGAGTATTACAACGGGAAAATTATGCAATTCCCGTGAGAAAGTGTTGCTTTTAAGCGATTGAGAAAAAAAAAGACATTAGAAAATGGCCTCTTTGGCATTATACCTCTTTATTTGTTTTTAGTGAATTTATACATCTTTGTTGATTGTTTTCAGACTTTTTATAGATGTTATTTTATTAGGAGGCTGAATATAGTGACTGAAAATGATCAGCGCTTATATTTTTAACCATGAGACATCGAAAATTATTCAATAATCACGATTTAAATCGTGAATTCATTTTAATTCAAATTATTAAGAATAGTAGATTCATTTTACGAAAATATATTAATTATTACACATAATGATAGTAATTCTAAATGAAACAGTATATAATATATTATTGGCGATTCTCATTTTGTTATCGATTGGTGACACAATATGCATGGTATCACCCATTTCTTAAAATTCTTCTCGCGCTGTTATTAAATAAAATTTAAAATAGAATTTTGAACATTTCATGATGCGTGACTTTCTTTTGATGCAATCTTTTCGTAAATGCTATTTGATCAACATATACCGGTAGTGCTAGTCAAAAAATTTCCCTCTTTTAGCTACTATTATAATCAACAGCTAAGAGTTCCTTTATGATACATATAGTTCCCCGATGTTATATTACACAGTTACATGTAGAGATAGAAATCAATGAGATTATTACTAATAAGATGCATTTTATTTCTTAATTAATTATTGTACGCGCAATTTTCGAAAAGATCGCCATCTAGTCAAAGATCACTTGAATCACTTCTTAATACAAATGTTCTATATATAGAAAAAAAAATGCGCGGAGGAATCTCAGATAGTTGGGTGACGTAAGCTGATATCTAATAACAATAATTTTTTGAAAATATACGAAATAAATTTATATCGTAAACCTTCAAAATAAATCGTGAGATTTCAAGCTTCGACATTCATCTATCGAATTTTATCGGGCATTACCATCATGTTATTGTAAATTAAAATGACCATAATTATAAATTTGTGCGTATAATTAGGCATCTTTTAGTGCACGCGTTTAAATATATATTTTTATGGATAAAAAAAAAATTTGATTTTATATAATTTGATATTAAATTTCATGTTATATCAATCATAATTAATAAATATTTAGCATAATTCATACGTAATAGAGGAAATATTGTATTTTAGCATAATAAAAAAATTAATATTTTTAATTTTTCCTCCAAGAAAATGCGTAAAATACGATAAACATGTTTAACTCGTTTAACTCGTTTTACATGAATTAGTGATTCATGTTGTTAGACATTTTAATGTCTAATTATATAAAACGAAATGACGGTATTTTACTTTATTTCAATTATATTTTTGAAAAAATTTTTAAAAAATATTCAATACAGATGAATAAATTGGAAGCAGTATTTTTTTTTAAATTAAATTTACTTAAATAATTAAGAAAAATATACTTTATTAATTTTTTTTAGCTTTAAAACAAAATAAATATAATATAATTAGTAATAAAAGTTAAATTCTAAAGAATATATATTATACAGGGTATTAATATATTTGTGGAATATATATTTTTAGAGATTTTAAAAATCAAATTGAAAAGTTGATATAAAAAAATTTCAGTTGAAGCATATTCATTAAGTTATAAATTATATATATGTAATTGAAATTTACATTAGATGAAGTGAGACTCTATCATAACTGTATTGCTTTATCTAAAAATTTCGATTGCAACTTCAATTATTTATACAATAATAAATAAGCTTCAACTGATATTTTTATATATGAATTTTTGTGTTTGTTTTAGCCTCTAGATCAAAAGTGTCCCATGAATATGTTAACACTTTATATATAATTAATAATTCCTAAAATTTAATATTAATTTTTAATATTATAATAAATTTTTTTAACTTGATCTCAGTTTTAATGAGAGTCCCAAATTCTATATACCATTGAAACATATTAAGAAAACGCGTGTACAGAAAGAGCTTTAGAATTATGTTTGACGCTTACTACATCGCTCATAAACATTGTCATATTGTATTCAGTTTGTACGCATATACTACTGAGTAATCTTATCATCATTCACGTTTAGATACTATATATTTCGATTGCTAATATGAGATAAAGCGTATTTGTGCATAACATTCTAAAGGACATGTTTAAAATATTAAAATATGATACGATGTTTCAAGCTCAAATAAAAGTCGAGTTGGTAGGCACTCTTGATATACCTCACCTGATTGTGAGATTTTTTTGATTATTGAATCTTTTTCAATTATTTGTTGAATAATATGTGTATGGCTGTTTATTGTATAAGCACTTGTATTATTCATTTCATGGCATTCCAAGTTTTATAAAAGAAGTTAATATACGCCGAAAATTGAATTATTGTTATTGTTATATACATAACTTGATTTAAAAAATTATTAAAAATTATTAACACATAATTTGATTTAAAAGCATAATGTGAGAAATTATGATATATTAAATCAAATCATGATCTCTTTTAATTTGAAAATAACATTGTGCTGGTTTAAAAAAATATTACCAATTGTTTATTTTTTGGTGATTATTATCACGTCTTTATTATTCAATTGTAAATTAAATACCAGTTACAAAGGCTCTTTGTACATAACGGCCGCAATAATGCTTTTGTTTTATATTATATAATATATATACTATTGTATCAAATAAACCAGCTATTATTTTATTCTTTTATCGTTTCGTACGAATATGATAAGAAGTTGCTACTTTATATGGCAAAAATTTTTTCATATTTTAATAGAAAATAAATTGTTTTCAATATTAATTCACACAAAAATTTCTTTATGTAAACACTATTGATTCCTGATGTCTCTTTAAAAAATTGCATATAAACTTATAATTTGTACTATCAGGAATAAGTATGTTTACGCAAAGAAATGAGATTTTATTTCTTTTTTCTATATTCATCACTATCTATATGCCAATATAATAACAACTTCCTATCAAAAAAAGGTAGAAATATCTTGCTTTATTTTTGTTTTTGTGATTTATTTGTGGTCCACATATATCCTACTGAGAACGAATCATAAATATAAGTATTTATAAAGCGTGACATTTCTTCTCTTTTTAAAATATAATTTCAGATGCACTGTGGATTTTTTCATAAAAAGAAAATTCATTTATTTGTATACATATGCTATGCATTAGAATATCTCAATTTTATATCAATTATATGATTCATAAAAGATTATTCTAATGCATCCATTTGTATTCAACCTGTAAAATTGCCTAATAGATTTATTTTTTCTTTGCTTTCCTGTGTTTTTCTTTTTTTATATAGTGTGATAAATTTGATAGAAAAAGGCTATATTCCTTAAACGGAAGTGCCGTATTATTTTAATTACGACTAGTTTAATGTCGCATTTTTTGTACCACGAAGTGCGACTGAGTCCCCATGTTTACAAAAGGACTCTCAAAAATTCAAAGAACGAGGACGTAATGGCAAGTATCCATGACTGCTAAGGAATCGTCGAGCAGCTCGCGTCATTTCGATTTGATCGCGTGTACGTCCACATGCCACTGTTGCCCATTGTGCTTCTAAATGTACCTGCAATTAGAACAAATCAAGGATAAAAATCAACGTGAATGGCATAATTATGATATTAATATCATAAAGTAATAACATATACAAAATGATTACATTAGCAATATTTTGAATATGACGAGATGAAATATTTAAAACTATCTCATATTTAAAAAATTAAAAGCTAAATTCTTTTGGATTTTATATACATAAGATTAAATTAATTGAACAACTTTAAACTATAAAATATAAAATAATTTAATAAACTATAAAATATATTTAATAGTTTTGAATTATACATTTAATAATTTTATTATCCTTACACAAACTACTTAATATTTCAAGAGATCAAATACTGCAATGAAATTTGATCTATAGCAACAGATGGTTTTCCAGTATACGAAAATTAAGCATTGGAGCGATGTGAAAAGAAATTTGACACGAAAATATCAAATCTCTAATGCAGCTAACCCCATTAAGGAGATACAGTGAACCGATTCTAGAATTAAAAAAACAACTCACCTTAGCACGTTTGACTGGCCTGAGCGGCAAGGGGCTGAGGATACAACAGGGACTGTCGAATGCATCGAATGTGATCGCTCTCTTGGCATTAGGCTTCCGTTGTACGGACACAAAGTCGTGGGAAGTCTGGAAAGGATAGACACACTAGCTACAGCCGGCGAGTAAAAAGAACGCATATAGAAAATACTGATAATATTTGAAAATTATTTCTTTTTTCTTTTTATCAGAAAAAAACATAAGATCAAAATTTCAGTTTTCAGAGACATAATTGAAAGATTTAAGAAAAAGAGAAAGAGGAGTTGTAAAGAGAGAAGAAACGGAGATAGAAAGGATATAGTTAGAGAGAAATAAAGAGATTATGGGAATTTATTTTAGTATTATTCAAAAAATTACGAAACTATATTGTGAGCTTATCCGTTTTATGCGTTCATATTTTCTTTCTAGGGCACGTTTCATATACATGCAAAAAAAAAACTATCACGTTTCATTATAAAATGACTAGGCCTTTTGTATTTTCTTTTTTCTTTCTTTTTTCCTTTGCATGATTGCGAATCGATTTCGAAGAGGAACATTCGCGACCAATGGAACCACTGTTCAAAAGTTCTTTGGATTTTCGGGACAGGATAGACAAGGAAGATACTTTGGTACGCTAGGCCAGGCCTGTATAAAGACGTTTTACGTTTGAGTTAGTTTTAAACATGCGGCAACTCAACATTATTATCGAAGAAACTAAAAAAATATATATGTAATATGTAATATATATTATATATTAATATATAATAATAAATAAACGCTATTTTTATATGTATATATCCATATACATATATTATATATAATTATAAACGGGATATTTATGATTTAAGGATATTTAATTAGGCAAAGGAATTATTAGGGTATATAAGTATTATTATGTTTCATGCTATATGGATCACCGGTGATCCATTTTTTTCGTTTAGATTATTATTATTTTTATTATTATTGAAACATATAAATGACTAAGGAGGCGAAATTGAAACTGCAAACATTTAATATAATCAATGATATTTTGTAATTAAATATTAAATAATCGTACGATGATACTTAAATACTAATATTTTATTACAGATTTACATAAGTACACATGTTTAACCTGTTGTGCACAGGATTCTTATAATAATTTACAAATGTTTTAAAATCAGGAATTCTTAATAATTATTATTAAAAAATTTCAATATTACTATTATTTTTTTTAAACGTGTATCATAAATAAATCTTATAATAATAAATAAATCTTATAATAATAAATAATAATTTGGTTTTTCACCGGAATAAATATGTTTTCAGTTCACTTCGCTTCCAAAATATCAAATAAATGTACACGAATAATTTACACGAATAATTTATATAATTAAATATTAACAAAAAAAAATAAAATGATAATAAAACATAATTTAATTTTTTGTAAATTAATTGTAGAAAAAGAAAAATGAAACAAACAAAAACGAAATATAATCATCTGTACACATCAAATTATATATACGTTTAATAACAAAAAGTACGGATATTTTCAATATAAAGACAGACAATAAATATCGACCAGAAATAAATATTATAATACGCGCAAAAATATAACTTAAGTACCTCATAACGTTGGCTCTTTTGTGATCACTTTTATATTTTTTATATTTTTTTATTTTAGTGATTTAATTAATGACAAATAATATGAAACGTTTTGTTTCTTAATTCATGATCATAAGTTTCGCTCCAAGCAAAAAATTATTAGATATAAATAATTTAACACGAAAAGCATACGCGTTGACAAAAAAAAAAAATAAATTAACTATATAAATAGATTAAACTGATTCTACACCATTATTAATGTTAGTCGTGTTATTTTATAATTATATACTTAGGATCTAAAAAAAGAAAAAAAAGTCACTAATAATCTTTGGATTGAATGATACCGGATCGATAAAAAGAATCGGTAATAACCAGTCTAATAGATATAAAAACAAGGTTAATTTCTCGCGCGTCGTTTAATATTTAGTCATAAATTATAAAGAAAAAGGAATTGAAAAAAAAGAAAGAAAAAGAACAAGGCATATTTAACGTTAATCGAAAGGCAGACAATATTGATTAAAATATACTTAACAGATTTTAGAATTTAAAAGAAAAAGATAGTGTTAAAATAAGAAAGTTAAGAAAAGGCCGGCTAGCGTGTCTAGAGGCGATTGGTACGGGAATAATACCAGGATAGGGCTGGTTGAGTTTGAATATATGTTTGAGTATGGACATTCTCTACCTTTATGGGACTAGTCCCTGCTGTTAGGAAACTGTCTTCTAATGCCATGGATGCTGGTGAAAATAATACCGATGTGTCCAAACTTTTACTCTGTAATATAAAACGAAATAAATAAATAAATTAAATGATATAATTTGTAATCTTATAATGTAAAATATCTTTAAATATTCATATTCAACTTACGGGTGTTTCTACAACGAAACTCATTTCGGAATTATCTTGAGAAGCATTTGCCCAAGCTTGAGAGAGAGCTTTGCGCGCTCTCTTTCCGCCAGGAGCACTATTCTCTTTACCCCGTCGTCTAATTGTACTGTAACCAGAATCTTGAAGAATAGTGCTAGTTCCTACTAAACTTTCACGATCGGTTTCCTGTTTGATGATCTCGGTTAGAGCATCTAAACGACTGGGGGTAGCAGGTAACTGAGTAGTCGCGCCGCTGCGCCGTTCTAATTCTGCTAATGCATTTTTGAACGGTGTTGGTGTCCTCGGCGTATTGCCATCTATAATAATAATAATAATAATAATAATAATAATAATGTAATAATATATAATAATAAATATATAAAAATATTATTATAAATGAAAATTTTGCAAATCAAAAAATAAATAAAACATACCATTTTGACTTCGTCGAAGACCAGTGGGTTGTGGTGTGGTGAGTGGACCAGGGCTGCTGCCTTTAGGAGTGCTCGCTCGTGGCCAGGAAGATGTCTCGGGACTCAAACTGTTCAAAAACTGTGACGGGCTGAATGGCAATTGTTTAATGGGTGTGGATGGGGTGGTCTCACCAGTCTGTTGTTCCTGTTGATTTATTATTAAATAATCAGACTGGCTCACATTATCAGGAGTTTCTGTCCTCTGTTGAAGAACTTGGGTATTTTTACGTCGACGTAGAATTGGGGGTGGACTACTCCTTTCTTTCTCCGTTACAGCACCAGGAATCTCTTCCAAATCTGGCATAGGCATTAATCTGATTTCTGAATTTTTTGAACTAGTCGCTTCACCCTGTATTTGCAAGTCGAAATACCTATAATAGACACGTTAATAAATAAATAATTTTTTTCAATTATCTTTGGAAAATTTTATATTTTTTTTTATTTCATTCATATCATACTTTGTGAAGGGTGACATTTGTGCAGTCTTGACTCTAGAAAAGGAACTTCCCGTTTTTGAAGGGGAGTTTAAACGAGATTCATTATTATGTGACCGTTCATTCAGATTCAAAAGACCTTGGAAAGTCTGACTATTTTGTTGATTATCCCAAGTTCTGCTCCATTGCAATTGATCAATGCCCAGAGTATGTGGCTGTACATTAGTCAGAGTTGAGGTATTGTCATTATTCGTTGATTTTAAACAATTCTGATTGGAAATATCCTCTTCTGGACAAAGATTATCCTTAGAGGATATTGATGCTTCTATGGCTTTTCTTCTACCTCTCCCTATTAAAAATACTTATTTTCATTAAATGTTTCATCTTTAATAATCTTCACTTCTAATATATAAAAATACATTCTAATTATTAAAATAAATTAATTTATTTTTTAAATTTTGTATATCTATTGGAATTAAAAAATGGAAATTAACAAAAAATTAAGAAGATATTGATTATTGATTAAAGAATGAATGAATTATAAACCTCTTGTGCTCGTGGATCTACCCTCTTCAGTTTCATATTTTCTTCTCATAGTACTATTCCAATGATTTTTTATGGCATTGTCAGTTCTGCCTGGTAGTAATTTTGCTATTTTTGCCCATTGATTGCCTACCCTGCGGTGTGCTTCTACAATGATCCTATCTTCCGCTTCTGTCCATGCTGTTTTCTTAATACCCGGATTTAGATGATTATGCCATCGTTCTCGACATTGCTTTCCAATACGACCTTTCAAATGTCGTGCAATTAATGTCCACTTCTTCGGTCCGTATCGTTCTACTAATTCCACCACTTTTTCGTCTTCCTGCAAACAGGATTATTAATATAATAATATTAATATAATAATTATTAATATATTATTAATATAATAATTTTTAGTTATTTATATTATATATATATATAAATATAATTGATACTATCAAATATTGAAATTGATTCATAAAAATTCGATAGTTATCCTAAATATTATCAAAAATAAATAATATTAGGAAAGTTTATAATAAAAGAATTATCTTAAGATTCTCCTTTCAATAATAGGATGGAAAATCAATAAGTATCCTAAATCAAAATATCATATATTTTATTTTTATAAATTATCCTATATTTAAAATCTCATATTAATTAATCTTAATTATAAAATTTCTATTAATTTAAAGCCATTATATTGTTAGTATCAAATTCTTTAATCGCAAAATATGCTTCCAATTTGTAACAATCATATGATATAATATCACATGAATCGTATTAAAAATAATTATTTCGATTTTTCCTTCATTCATTCATCAAATATATGAATAAAAATTTTTCATCTTCCAATAGGCTATCTAGTAAACATTACCAAATAATTACCAAATAGCAAAAATTATCGCTGATTATCTGATATAAATAGATAATAGATAATAGATAAGATACCTATGTTACATAGGTATGTAACTATGATTGCTTGAGAATGATTGAAATCATTCTGATTCAAACATTATCAATTGCTTCCAAAGAATTGCCATTTTTTCTAGTGCCTCTCATCTTGTTGATTGTTACCAAAATCGTCTTCAACAAAGTCTTCATGTGGACAAATTCTCACCGGAAGGCAAGCCCAACTCATGGAGTAATTTCTCGAAAGCAAATAGAAGTATCGAACAGAGAACGAAGTGGTAGGTCGAGAAGACGGCGGAAAGGAAAGGAGAAGAGGATTCACGCGATGCATGATGACCGTCGGTGCACAGAGGAAAAGAACGAACGAAAAGAAGAGGAAAAAGAAAGGGAAAGACAGAGGAGTAAGAGGAGGTTGCACCGAGGACGCTCCCATACCATGAAAAATCAGGTACACACCAATGTGGCCCTCCATGACGGCGATGTCAGAGGCTTTACTTGCCCTTGGCTGTTGCCAAGTGCATTGGCAAGACGGCGATGCAGCATCTCTACAGACCTCTCGTGGCTCTTTTTCTTATTGCATACCCCACCGTGGCGACCCTCAGCGGACAGACGGAGAGCTTTGCCTCCGCTACGTGTAGGCGTATGTACTGTGCAGGGCCGTGCCGTTATGAATTTGAACCTTCGAAATTTAAACGAGTCGGAGAAACTTGATCGCTAATCCCTTAGAAGTGAGGCAACGAGAATCTTGAAGCATTTTTAAATGAGTTTGGTTCAAGTTTGGTTTTTATTGACTATGATGAAATTGATTAGGCTTATGGTGTTACTATAATAATGAATCTACATAGTTTGCAATGGAGACATCTAGTGATCAAAAGAGGAAGCTCTTGATATTTTTTACTAATAGAAGGTAGGATGTGTATGTATTTTTAAAATACATGTGAAGAGATATATGTATTATATATTATAAATATTATAAGAATATTTTAAGAGAGTGATTTTGAAGTTTTAATAAAATATTGGATCTATTAATTACTGATTCGTGTGAATTATTAAAAAAAAAAAAGCTTCTAATCCAAAGAGAAACTTCTGCAGAACCGTTATCCAACTTTTAATTTAAAAGTCTTCTCAGTTTCATACTATCTGAATAGATCTAGTCGCGATAGATGAAGAGGGTGTAATGGATCTTTACACTTTCATTTGATGTGGACTGATTGGCCTCTATTGAAAATCAGATTAATTGAATTTCATTGATTTTTCAATGATACAATATAACTATTTAAATAAAGAATCAAATAAAATCATAAAGTATCGCTAAATGTCGATAAAGACCTCAAATACTAACTACTATACAAGATATTTATGATAATCAAAACAATGAATTATTATTTAAAAAATCATATTTTAGTTTCAAATTCTGAAATCCTAAATATTAAATTTTTAAAGTTTAATAATAAAATATAATAAAAATTAGGTTTCTCAATATTTAAAAAAAAAATTAATTAATAAGTTTTATTAATTTAATTCCATTAATATACCTCTTTTGTCCATGGTCCTTTGACTAATTCCGGATTTACGACTTTCGCCCATCTCTGCTGGCATTGAACATCACTTCGATCCGGAAAGTGGCTGGCTATGGCGTCCCATCGAAGCCCAGTACCAAGTTGTTCAGCATTGCTCACTAACTGTTTTAATACAGCATCCTGAAATCCATTTGAAACAGAACATAAGTATGTTAATCATATACATATACATATATATTATGCATAGAAAATAATATACAGTATGAATAGAAAAAAGATTGTGACAAAAGTCCTTTGAAAATGTTCTAAAATAACTATATTTGAATTTTATATCGCTGAGCATTGATAAAACTTATGAAACTTGATAAATATAATTCAAGTTAGTGAGTGAATAATTTCAAGTTATTTTAAGTAAATAAGCTATTTAAAGTAAATATTGTACTTATTCTTTTGAGATGTGTTAAATTAAAATAAAACTATGCTAAAATATTATGTTAATAAATTATTAATTGTTTTTCAAAATATGATGATTTATATTTCATGTAATGATATATAATTCTTAAAGAAAAATTTTTAATATTTATCAATACTTTTTTTTATCAAAAGAACAGTAAAGATATTTTTATGAGAAAGATTAAGTATATAAATAATAAGAAAAAAAGATCAAATGAACATGAAATATTTACTACTATTGCAACATTAATTTCTGATATAGATAGAGTTGCGAATGGAAATTAAATTGAAAATGACTTTAAAATTAAAGAAATAATGAAAATATTCCAAATGAAACTTTTTATTTCACAATTGCATTAAATTAAAAAAAAAAAAAAAGATGAAAGAAAGAGAGAAAGAAAAAAAGAAAAAAGGTCATGTAACAAATGCATAGGATCGATAGGTCTGTGATATTTCCCACGGGAAACCATACGGCGTTCTTCGTACTCTATGGCTACGCATATGACTATGGGGTAGTTGAGGGCATCTGCCCGCGGACGTAACTCGTTGTAGAAGGTACGAAGGGTGGACCTTTTTTCGAGGCCTGTGCTCATTGTATCCCTCCCCTTTCGCGTTACATCTGATCAAAGTCACAGTATGATGACGCGGTCACATGTACATTCTCGGAAATATCGAGCTCTTGATTAAAGAGGAAGAGAAAAAAAAAAAGCATAGAACATTGCTTATTATGATATGCACTATAAATATCATTGGTATAATCTAATTTATGTATACCAATTTATGGAACTCTCTAAAATATTTTTTATAAATATATTTTAGAATATATTTAAAAGATTTTTTTTTATCTTTTTTAAATTATAATATTTTATAATATATTTTAAAATATTTTATAATAGAAATATTTAACAAATATTTAAATTAATAATATTTAAATTTTTTTATTATGTTATAATTATGTTAATAATTAAAATTTAAATGTTTCATTAATAAAATTAATTTTAATTAGAATATTTAACATTGAAATTCTCAATTACCTCCTCTTTGGTCCATCTTCCTTTGTTTATATGTTTTCCCTGCCCATGATTGCTTGCATTTGTGTTCTGATTTTGAGATTGATTATCGGCTCCACGACAAGCAATAGCATTGTATTCATTGTCAGATTCTCCGCCGCTACTAGAATCGTATCCAGATCGCGATCTAAGAAAAAAAGAAAATATTATATGTTTTCATAATTTGGAAATAAAATTAAATTTGAAATTTAGAAATTCATATTTCTAAATTAAAACTGCATTTTTCTACACAATGATATTTATTACTAGTATCTTTTTTTTTTATAAAAAAAATTGATAAATCAAATTGACAAGTCAAAAAAATGCTAATATCTATTATCTATTAACTTTTGTTAAAAATATTTAAAGTTAGAAACGATACAAATGATTTTAATGCCTATATCATGAAACCTCTTATGATCTTTTATCTCTTTTTCTTACGACTATTAATTCTAACATAAAACTATGATTCAAAATGAATATCAAGATTCACAAGATCAAATGTGCGAACATGTAACGGATATAGCTATTTTTTGTAGAATGGTGAAGATGGGAAATCACGGATGGCTGACCATCCGACCTGTGCGTGTTTCTTCCTCTTCTTTGTCGAAGAAACTATCGCGCACTCGTTACCCCTTTGTTCTTCACCCTTGCCCTAAACCGCCAACCAAGAGGCAATCTTGACCACAGTCTGGCCAGTGTCAGTTTTTGTGGTTGCTAGTGGTTTATTCGTCTTCTTTGTCTTCAAGGATTTCCTGTCGTTATTCATTCTCACCCTTTCTTCCCTTCACTATTTTTTAATTTTTTCTCTTTATAAGTTTTTAATCAAACTTAAAAAAAAAGCAAATTTATCTAACCAAAAAGAAAAAAATCTATTTGATTAATTTGATTAATCTACTTGATTAATTTAATTTATCTTTTATATAAAATTTATATAATATTGAAAGCGTCAATAAAAATATATAATTATTCATTTGAAAAAAATATAAATAAAATATTTATAAAGATGTAATAAAAAAATTTTCTAAATAATTTTTCTAAATATTTTAGAAAAAATACATATGCAAATAAGTTTAATTGTTTATATGATTAAATAAAAATATTTTTAAGTCAAATATTTTTTCTTTAAAAAAAAAAAATTCTTCAAAAAAGAATTTCCATTAATCACAAAGTATCTTGTACAGTGAATATAATTTTTTCTATATGTAGATGTTAAAAGCTTTTTTACATCAGTCAAGTTCATCTATAATAATTCTGTCAATCAAACAATATTCTCAAATTTCAAAAGTATTTAATTCGAATCTAATAGTATTCGTTTCATTTATTCAAAAATATTTAAAAAAAATATTCTTATTCATTAAATTTTAGTATTCCATTTTAGTATTTTTTGTTGGAACAAAAATGCTATTTTAAATATGTTTTTCTATACTTTTAATTTAATTTTATTAATTAATTAAATAATATTATTTATTAATCTTATGAAATTTCTTTAAAGAATTTCTTAGAAAAAACATTACTGATATAAATGATATACTATAGTAATCTATAAACTGACTTCAGTAGTAAAAGTCAAGAAATTTATGGAAGAAACAAGCCAGAGTTCATGTTACACAATACTCAAATGCAATTAGTCCAACACTTGGCTCGTCATCTTAACGTATTTACATTCCAACCACTATAGAGTTTATGTTCGCAGGATGACGTAATTCGTCGACGATAGCCGGTCAGTTTGAGATGAAGTACACATGTATATATTCTCCTATATATCCCACTACATAGAGAAATCAAACGCAACGGCCGACCGCTTGTTATGTTTACTGTTTCAGGCAGACCACGACCGCGTTTCCGCTGCAAGCAGCTATGTATATCGTATGAACCTTTGCCAAACGGCGTTCGTTTAACCCTTTTGTTTCGTCAGAACTGCAAAGATACCGCTGTGACGTCTAAGTAAAACGATGTACGTAAATTCACGAATCATTAAACATTATTCATATTTATTTGGAATTTTAGAAAAAATAAAAAATAATGTAATGATTTTCAATGAAAATAGAAATATTATAATAAAATATAATATTCAATATATCTGAAAATTAGCAATTTTTTATAATTACAATTATTTTATTAACTTTCAAATTTATAAAAAAAATTATTATAAAATAAATAATCAAATAATATGCAGTATATATTTAAAATTTAACATGTTTAATATTTTTATAAAAATACAATAGATGTAATTATAATTATAATTATAATAGTAAATATATATATATATAGTTGAAAATGTATAGAAAATTATTTTATTTTTTATTTTCAAATTGGCATTTAGACACCAATATTATGTGTTATTGCTATAATATTTAGAATTCATAATCTTTATAGTGCTAAAAATGATTTAAAAAATTAACTAATAAGCCAATTTAATCATTTTATAATCCAAATATTAAATTGATAAATTATGAACTTTTTTTTAAAATAGAATTTATAACATAATTATATTCGTTGATGAACATTATAACAAAAAATTGCTATTTATTACAATGATGAGTTAAAAAATAAAATTTCAATCTTGGAAATTATCAGTTATCTTTGAAAATTTGATAATTTAATCTAAATTGATCGTCGAAATCAATATTAACTTTATTATTAATTTTATCTTATTATAACAATAAATTAAGAAATAATATAATATCAAAAAATATTTCTTTGGACTGAAAGTAATGATAACAATAAAATTTACATGAATACATATGTCGTACTTATGTATATATGTTTGTGGCATGCTATAAATGCTATATCATTTTATAATTTTCTATTGTACTTCATTAGTATATGCACACATACATGTTTTTCTGTATATATAATTGTACTTTTTCTGTATAATGTCCTTTTTCTGTATATATAATTGCTTAAAAGTGAAAAAAAGAAAAAGAAATGTATATTGAGACAAAAAACTAGAAATATAAAATTGAAATTTTTTCAAATTATTACCATATATATTATATGTTTTGAAAAATATATCTTGATAAAATTTTCATATTCTTTTTATCTTTATCATGGATATACAAGTGTATTTTACAAACATTTTATTCTATTCTTCTATTTTGTTTTCTTTTTGTGACGTATCGATGTTTAACAGCGGAAAGAATGATTATCCTTAGCAAGATTTCTTGGAAATCTCTACTCATCACTGAAATATTATGATAGAGCGATAGAAATCTCAAGAAAATTAGCGATAAGTCACGTGATTAATTCACAATTTGTTAATCAACAAATCAATCGTTCCTTTTTTAAATATCTATTCGATTATCAATAAAATCTCGAATAAATATCCTTCTTTTTATTGCTTCCAGTTTTTGTATTCTTCATACGACAAACGTTACGAGACATGCGTGCGCATATTTATTCTGGCACACACGTGGCAACAGTGCTATACAGGAAGCACGCGCATTTCATCTCCGCAGCTGTTTTTACATCGGTAAGAGAAACTCGTATAAAACGCAAACTGATATACCTTGTAATTCAGCATCTAATTGACGGAGTCTAGCAATGCAATCTTCGTTGTTCAAATATACTGACTTTCTGCAGGTGCACATATGTTTACGTTCCCGGCTAAGGACAAGTCGAGAATATGTTATGAAGCGTTAAGTCGCGAGGGAATGCTAGGAACCAAAAGGGGAGTGCCGTTTAAGTGGAATGTCTCCTGTATACAGGACGCGTCGTGGAAAAAAGTGAATGTAGCGAAATTCGTGAAACTATGCAAATAAATACTTGGCAGTGATTTGTTGCTCGATTAGCACGTGATAAGGCTGATTGAACAGCTGTATTGAATTTTATTTTTTTTTAAGGAAGACTTCATAACCTTACTATTTAAATTTAAAAATAGAATTTTAAAAATTAAAAGTCATTTCGATTATATTATTGTAAATCATAAAATAATTATTGTATGTGTTAATTTATATACGTGATTTTTGTAGATAGAATTCATGAACAAGAAAGAATAGATTTTTATAATTTGAATAATATAATATATTAACAATTATATAACCATAAACAATATTGTTCATGCGGCAAAAAGGTGCAAACTAGTAAAATTCACATAGAGCGATATGTTTAAATTTCAAAGATGCGATGGAGTTCCATGACAAGCTGAAGTATCCAATCACAGTATATCTCTATATCTCTAGACGACGCGGCTTCCATGAGAACTAGCTAGATATTTAATCAAGTTTTGATACCGAATTCTTAAATTAACAGAGCTTATAAGAATATCATTTTTATGTATAGAATTAAGAAAAAAATTATATTTATATTTAAATATAAAATTTCGTAGATTAAAATTATATTTTTGCGTATGTGTAATAATAATTATGTGAAATAAATATAATCTTTTTTTAAAGGTTGATGGAATTTCCTTAAAAAAGATATCTTCAGAATGTAAGAATGGAATGTGTAAATCGCATTTTTGTGCATCTTCCTTTTCACTTTCTATTTTGTATGTTTGACCAAATGAAAGTCTGAAAAAGCAGAAGCAGAACGTGCGTGGAATGCCAGAACAATCATCCGGTATTTGACTGTGGCTTCATTCAAATTTAAAAGTGAAAATGGAGAAGACGGCACAAACTACATACACGTGATCTTTTTCGTCACGTGTGATCTAATGTCATCTATGTCATACATAGACACATTTTTATATATGAAAATTATATTGACAATTATGTAATAACGTTTTTGATAAATTAAATATGAATTCTATTATTATTTTAATAATAATAAACAAATAATAATAAAGAATAAAGATTAAATAATTAATAAAAAACTTTCATACAATAAAGTATATATAATAAGCAAATAAGATAAAACAAATGAAAAAAATCTAAAATTACATCTTAAATTACTTAATTTTACTTAAAAGAAATACAATATTTTTTACGTTAGAATATTTCTTCTAGAATATTGAACTTTTGTAGCCAAATCTTTACCTATTTAGTTGTGACACGCAAAAAAAGGATAGAAATAGCGCTGGGAATCGCAAATATATACTCGAAGACGATCAGTATCCGTTCTTTTTTTTTTTCACTGTGTTACGTAAAGGCTTTCGCCTTCGTGGAAGTTCTAACGGTCGCAGGCATCCTTGAGTTTAAATCCCGAGGCACGTGGCTGAACGCAGGACTTCCTCCGGCATTCTCACGATCCGCGAAAATATGTGCCCATTCTGTATATATATATATATATATATACACATATACCTATACATAAAGCGTCGTGGCGCGATAGCCGAGAGAATTGTGTAGATATATAAAAAGGATGGAGCATTATGCGCACGCATGATGTTTGTTAACCCTGAGTGGGGGTGGTATATTCCCCTTCTTACGTTGCTTCGAAAGCATTGCAAATAAATTATAAAATGTCCACTGTTCATGAATATTTATACTGGTCAGACATCTAACGTTTTATTGATGACGATTGCGAAAAGGGATATGGGATGAGATCGGTCATCTTTCAAGATACAATCAAATTGATTTAAGTTGTAAAGCAATCAAACATGGGATATGTTTAATATACATATGTATGCACATATATAATGACTAAATGGATATTATGAATACCTTTAGAGTTTATAGTTCTGATAATTATGGCATTTTGAAATATAATATAGCAATTTTTGGAATTGCTTTTAATTAATTGTAAAATTTTATTTTCTTATTGTTACTTATTTATTTTCTTGAAAAGATGACTAAAAATAATAAAAAAAAAAACAGAAGAAACAAGGAAAAAAAAATAATTCAAAAGGCACGTGGACAAATGCAGAATAACTGATAAAAATTATCATGATTTTACTCAATATGTGATATTCACAGTAGAAACAAGGGACAAAGGAAACGACTCAGTCGGGACTACTCATTAATCAATTTAGGGTAGCAATTTTATATGTGTTATACATAGGATGACAGAGGAAGGGAAGGAGGAAAACAGACAAAAAGGAGACACGAGAGGACGTGAATGAGAGCGTAAAAGAAAGATAAGAATAATGGTTGTAACACAGGAAAGGAAAGAGTAATATGCTACCGGATCACGTTGGATTTTATATCTTCCTATCCTCTTACCTCGGTGTTTCTGACTTCCTGTTTGGTCAAAAGGATAATTATAATTTCCTGACAACCAGAATTTCTATGTAATATTTAAATTATGATAGAAAGATGAAGAGAAAGAATAAAAATTACCAAATATTATTTTAATGATAAATATTGTATAAATATCTAATATTATTTTAATTTATTTTATATTTTAATATACTAACTCAATATCAAAATTTGCAATTATATATTTAAAATGATTTTGCTCGAAATATTTGAATAAGTTGAGAACGCAAAATTCTCTTTTCCTTATTTCAATATTGTCATATAAATTGAACACATCTTACTAAGTTTCTATCCCTTTCCGAATTAGCATGTAAAACTACTATCGAAGATCGAGGACATCCGGTAGAAATTTCCAATAAGCTAATTCAACCTCGATGACAAGAAATTGTTAATCCTCATGAGGCAAAATGAATGAACAAGCTCTTGCACTTAGCATTTACTTGAAAGGTGGCGGCACGAGCAGGTGCCCTGCAACAGCTGCCCCCTTTGTCTAGGACTTCGAACGCCGTATGACTTAAATGCAATACATTTTGATAGAATCTTCAATAAATGATTAATAATATTAATTTTTGTTTTCATTATTAAGATTCGTTTTCATATATTTTTACGATTCTATTTAATTAGTTAGTTTTATAATTATAAAAAACGAGAATTTAAAATCTATCTATATTAAAAATGATTTATAAAAATTTACTTTCGAACATATCTAATAATATTATCACAAACGAAATATAGAATATAAAATAATGTTTTTTCATGTAACAGAATCTTGATAGTTGATTCTCTTACCATTTTCGTATCACATGCGACATTATCGATTCAGTAAACAATTGCAATTAATTACTGTAAATAAAACTATACGTAACTTTTAACTGTAAATTAAATGAATATTTGTAATAATCACTTTGATCTTATGTAAAACAGAAAAAAAATCTATAAATCTCACTTAATTTTATTATTAAATGTTGTAGATTTAAATTAAAAATCGAATCATATATTAGTATAACGACATCATAATGATTTATTTAAATCAAATATATATAAATAAAAAAAGTAAATTATAACATACTAAAGATTCTTTGTTGTTGCAATCTATCATTGTCATGCGATTTTTTTTAAAGATTCGAAAGTTTTTCTACTATAGTGTAGTTATTGATTGTATTGTTTTTAATGAAAATAGCATAATAAATACATTATTATTAAATTTATACTGATTGTACTAAATCATAGAAGGCACAAAATACATTTTTTTTTGAGGTTATAATACTTTATTGAGGTTAGTATTTCAGAAGATATGATATCAAATTTTATAAAATGATCTTTGTAACTTATGTGATGCTATTATTATCATTATCATATTGAATAATTGCATTTTAATCATTATAATATCATGCAAAAAATTATTTTTTTTTTCTAATGAATTTTAACAAATCACATCAATTATAATGATATAACATGAATATTCAGTTATGAAATATTGCATTTCTTATGTAAGAGAATATTTCAATATTTGCTAATTATTGAAATTTAAAAAATTATTTTCTAATCACAAAAAATGTAGATTATAATATTCGTTATTAAAACCTAACAGATATTAATATTTAAACTTCATAATATTTTATTTTCATTTTTATTACGATTTATGATACCGACTTACGGTAATTTCATTCTAAATGTAAACACATCTGGAACTAGTTACATCAATTTTTCAAAGAATTATTAAAACAACCAAGTAAATCTTCATAAATTTTAAACAATAAATATCATTTCAATACAACAAAAAGAGGATTAACGAAATTATTCACCAATTACACAATTACGTTCATTCCCCTCTTCGAATTTACGAGTTATGATGAAAATCGAGCGTCTCGTGAGAAAGGGAGAGGAAAAAAGTACCCATCATTGCCACGTATACTGCTACTATGGACATCTGCCGAAGTTCCGAACTTTCCCCTCTTTTCGACCACTTCCTTACGCGTTGTCTGCTGTTCCCCTTCTATTCCACCATTTGCAACAAGCAGCCCTAAGGTTAGCAATCTTCCTTTTTCTTTCTTTTACCTTCTTTCCTTCTTTCCTTCTGTCCGCCTGTTGTTCGTCACGCAACAATAAGGTCATTGCGCGTACCAGTCGACGTCCCTTCTTGAGTTATGTCCACCGTGTGTATGTCTCATAGTCATGGTTTGTCGAGAAAACCAGAGGATAAACCCATATATATATTCCCTTTTATATACATATTTTCAAGATCATATCACACATAATATCTTTAATATCGAGAAATGTATCAATATCCAAAAAAATTAAAAAAAAAAGAAATAGGAAAAAAAAAAGGAATAATATAAAATTTCAAAAACATTATATGAAATATATTAAAAAATTGTAGATGGAGATTTATCTAGTCACTACAGAATAGTAATGGAGGATTGGAGGATGGATTAGAGAGGTCAAAGTACGGTTTATTGTCTCTTTATATATTTCGAAATTTATGAATATAGTTTTCGATTTAAATGGTTGTTTTAACTATTCTATTATATATGACCTTAATATAAGATAATAATAAGGTATTCTTGACGAATTTGTAATGAATATATGCGCATATATTTTTGTTTAGTAATTTTTCAACACAAATTATATAATATAATTTGTTATATATGTAATGTTTTGTTAATGTTCATTAATATAATTACATTTCAACAATATAATATAACGTATAAATAGTAATATATTATTTAATCATTAAACTATAATATATAAATTTGAAATAAAAATTAATAATTTGCATATTATCAATCTCTATCCCATACAAGATATTGCAATAAAGAAAGATACACTTTGAAAGAATAATCTTTGATTTTTCTCTTCTAAACAAGATTATTTCTATCCTCTGTACACGATTACATAACTTCAACGACACACGACGCAATGCTTTAACATACCGGAAACCATTCTTCAAGTAGACAGATTCGAAGAGAGCGTTATCTATGCAAGTAGAAATCAAACTGATGCTCTGTGGGTAACGGGTCAAGAGTAAGGGTCAATGCAACTGTTATCATCTGGGACCCCGTTCGGTCGCGTGCGATGCAATTGATTCTGTCGTCGATTTCCCAAAGTTAGAGACCAGGTGCAAGGGATTCATTGGTCTCTGGTTGTCAGCTGCTACCCCCACGACCCATCCCCCCCCGCCGCACGGGTCGACAACATACGATACACTCGCGCGTTCCTCAATTTATACGTTTAAACAGCCTCTCGTGCCAATGATAAAAGGGAACGCCCTAGCAAAATATGCAGAATTTTCAAGTATGTCCATCTTATATCATATGCGTGTTATCGGAACGTAATAACTATAATAAATTATTATTTTTTAATTTATTGTTAATTCTTCTGTGATCATATGTAGTCTTTATGATTGAAGATATTATAAATTTTATATAAGAAGAGGGAAAAAAATTAATTTTTAATTTGTT